AACACTTCATGCTGTGCTCCGATCTTGATCTACTCCACGTTGCTATTTTTTCCTCCCAGTCTTGCACTACCATATTGGTCTCTCGCTGGCTTTCGCCCTCTCCTTTCTCAGGTATATATATATATATGTGCATAAAGTACCCCGGGGAAAAACAACATAGACCAGAACTCGATTTCAAGTGCGCTTTAGCGTGGACCACTGGTAACGGTGACTTCCTGGGGAAACGGTATGAGAAATTGTATGGGGGGCGGGAATTTCTGGACCCTCACTAACATGGACCGTTCCCATTCTCAGGTTATGATCGATTTTGACACTAACATGGACCAACTGCAAATCTGACTATAAACTGAATGCAGGCTAACATAGACCGCGCCTTAGAGGTCAACATAGCCCGGTGGAGGCTAACATGGACCAGGCCAAGTACCCGTAGGGCCCACCATGGCACATCTGAATTTGGTCTAGGTTAGTCTCAACGGTGTCCGCTCGGAAACTAGACTAACATATGCCAAAAACATATATGTTTTGGCGAAAATGTTAGTTTTTCACCGGTGTAGTTTATCTGGCCCCTCTGCTCTACTTCCACTTGGTTTGTGCCAATGTTCAATGACAAAGCAGGTTGGGTCAGCCTGAAAACCGAACAAACTGCAAAACCTAAAGTGCAAGGCGGTCAAGGCAGCCAGGTTCCAAGACGGGACGCTAAGCACTGCCACCCAAATCAAAGTCTTACCATATCTCCGATGTTTTTGTTTCTCTGCCCTGGCCCTGTAGTCAAGCCCTGTAAGCAGACTGTGCGCCACCCAAAGTCAGACAGCTGCAGACAAATTGCGCGCCACTCCCAGCCCAGACAGCATGCAAGGTTCCCACACAGCACCCAGGGTTCCAGGGCAAACTTGCGGTTTTGGAGCTCGGTGGACCAACTGTGCACCACTCCGAGCATTCCGAGCCCAGAGATTGAAACCCAACTGCATTCTGCTGTTGGGAATAATAATCCTGTGCTCACCGTTCTTGGCTGCACCTAGCATTTCTAGCATCACTCAAGTGTGAGCTGCCGACTTCACTCGCAGAAATCCTTCCCGCACTGTGCAGGCGAGGGTGCTGGCCAACATGCAGACATGTGCTCCCAAACTCTTTGCAATTGCCAAAGATGTTGCAGATCACGATGAGAAGGCATGCCAAAGTCATGTCTTTGCACAGTCTCAATCCAGACAGACTTTCAAAGGCTCTCGTACTCGTTGCTCGCAACTCTGGTCTCCTTGCCTTGTTGGAGCACTTGCGTGTGTCGCGCCTGCAACCCCCGATGATGTCGGTTGGGAAGGGCATGGGTTGTTTTGCGTATGCTTGATGTTTGGAAGCTTCTCTTTTTTGCACCTTAATTTGTATTGTCGAATCTGGTGCATTGTCCAGGCTGAGAACCACCAACTAAGGAGGTCGCCGCAAATGCCAAGCACACATTTGGGGTAGCAACGATGGAGGAGTTGTCGGAGAACCTCAGTTGCACCATGGGTTTCTGGAACATTCTGGAACTATTGAATGATATTGAATGTGTTTCTTCTGGCTAGTGCTAGCTGCTTAGGTTCAACTCAGTCAGCAACTTGAAAGGCGAACGCTTTCGCTGCTAGCTCAGCTTGACTCATCAGAGCTGTACAGATTGACCTGACATACAAAACAAAATGCAAAGCAATGGCGGACAGGTGATGGCTTCACTGAACATTCTCCAAGGTGTCCTTGTAGCTGATGCAGGACAATGCTCGGAGGGAGTGAGCTTCTTCGCAGTTCGAAGGCTGCACCTGGCGGACGTTCCAGTCAGGAACCTACAAGCTGGCAAGCTGTAGCAAGGCAACGAAATTGTCATAAGCCAAGGCAACGCCAAGCGCCTTGGTCCAGTCGGTCGGAAGAGCTATACGCAGCTTTGGCCGCACTTGCCCGGACACGAAAGCACGTGTTTGCAGACAACATGTAGCCACCTCTAACACTCTCAGTTCGTTCCAGCCAAGGTATGTACGGACACAGAGGTTTGCCCGAATCGGAGCAGACGGTCACCACCACGCTCTGGGTAGCTGTTCTACCCCGATGGATGCAGTCCCCGCTCGCTGCCTTGGCCTTCCGCGCTCAGAAGCAGCGTGAAGCGCAGGACGTAGCACGACATCCGCTTTTAAGCTTTGAAAGATCGATTGTCAGATTAATCATTGTGTGGTTCGCCCATGGATTTCGCCAAGATTTAAATGGGCCTTACAGGACATGGAGGCTGGAGCACGCCGACTTCTGAGATCTTTTTTCGCAGCTGGCCTGAAGGACTTGTCAGCACTGAAAGCACGCACCTTGGCCTTGTCAAGAGGACTTTTGTGCATTTGATCCCTGAAGCCTCGGAAGAGAATGCTTGAATTGTGTTTTGAAAGGTCCCCTGATCATTTGAACAAGAGATGCACACCTCATGATGCAAAGATTTTCTTTGACAGTCTGCAAGTTCAGTTGCAAACTATCAACAGAGCTTGAAGATGCAAGGGTCGGCGGGCTCAGTTATATGTACAATTGCAGTTGGCACATGCACTCCCACAGCCACAGTAAGCATATATATATATATATACTGTAGTCAATTTTATATTTTGCAGTTCCTATTCCGGGTGCATCCAACCAAGACATAAAAGCCGGTTTGCAACAAACTCCTGGTCCTAGTCGCTGGCAAGTGTCTTCATATTTTTTCTTGGAAGCCAACTGCTGTACACAGGTCAACGAACACCAAACCACCTACCAGAATAGGTCTGGCCGCTGTTGAAGAGTTCTGGAACATGTCCAGCTTAGACCAGATTTAGGAAAGACTTCACCAAATCAATGTTGATTCGTTTTGAGAAGCTGTCGGGGGACAGACTTAGGCGAACAAATCTCTTTGACCACTTGCTAATCTTGTTGAGAAGACTTGATAGAAAGACCTGGCACTTGCCTATCCGATTTGTAAGCTTGGCTTGATCGGTTTCAGTCTTTCTCTTTCGCGTGCTTGTTTCTTGTCCTTGAAAGCTGTTGGAGATCAGCTGACTATTAATAGAGTGTATACATAGGCCAGCTGATGAACATGATCAAGAGGATCAATGACCCTCTGAGGCTTTTTGGCTGTCCTCTTCTCATGCTTTCCGGAACGGATGTCAATCAAGTTGTTGAAGCTCCTCATGTTTCTGAGTTATTTCCATGTCGGCATGCCTGAAGCACACATCTAGAAGAGAGTGCCGCAAGAGAAAGGTTTCAGAACGCGTAGGATCGTTTTGAATGAGATATTTTGGTACCTCCAATCTTTGAAGACATCTCCAAAATACTTCAAACCGACACAACATGAGGAATCTTTGGAGAGCAGCCAAACATGTGACAAACAGCTGAAGAAACAAACGCTGCCAAAGTGAGATCATATGTCAACCACCAGACCCTGGTAAACGAGACCAGGGTGAGAATAAACAGCTTTTAGTAGCATTTAAGAGCATTTAGTGAAAATAGATGTAGATTGCATTTAAAAGACATTTAAGTAACATTTAAGAACATTTAAGAGACATTTAGTGACAAATAAGGTACATTTAGTGACATTCAAGATAAACTT